GGGTGCTCTATACTAAGCTACATCTCTAACTCTTTTTATTTATTTTTCTATATTGAGACAGAGTCTTTCTAAGTTGCCCAGACTGACCTTGAACTTGTGATCCTCCTACGTCACCCTCCTGAGTTTCTTGTGCCACCACTACTTATACCCTGATAAATAAAGGTAAACTTTCAAAAATTATATTGTAAAAAGCTACCCACCTCGTCAGAGGCCGAGTGGGGACTACATCTTGAAGGCTTTACACTCCACCTTGACCTCAGCTCCACCTTAAATCCAAAGCCTGTTTCAAGTTGTAAAAATACCTTTCCCACAGTGCTATATAAAAAGAATTCTATACTTCCAAATTTTCCATAATGAGAAATGATTATACCCTTTTGAAAAAGTAGCAGATGCCATTCAACGTTTGCAACGTGACTTGGTTGGTGGAGAGAGGGAAGGCCACTCTGCTGAGTTGGGAGGCGGGGAGGGAGAGCAAGGCCTGACTTTGTTCTCTTTAGCAATGCTCGTGAAAGCTCTCATCTCCGAATGCATCCAGTTAATTTAATTTAGGATAAGAAGGATAACAGGGACCGTGTTTTTATTACAGGACTGTGTTTTGTGGTGGTGGCTACTGGGCTAAAACCGTTTCTGAATAACCGACCCCTGCATGAGGGAGAGGCAGGAAACCTTCCAGAAAGTGCAGTTCCTTTATTCCCCTCTACATAATCAAGCACATGAGCCACCAGGTGGGGCCAGCTTCTGGCGGGCTAAAATAGGTTTTCTGTGGAGAAGGTGGAACTAGAGAGAAGGGTGGGTGCAGTTAGCCCTACCACCGTTTCCTTGAGCTGAGCTGACCGGAGAGTGGACCCTGCAGCCTCACTTTGTGGGACATAAGACCCTGTGGCTTCCCTACCAGAGTGTTCAAGAGCTGTTACCTCTCTAACAGGAGCTGGGAAGAAACATTCAGCATCTAAGAGAGTTTTCCCTGCTCTGTATGATTTATTTTTTAGAATGGCAAATGTAATAAACACTTATAACAACTTCAAATGAGTCAGAATTATATGAATGTAAATGGTGGTACAGCATGTCCAGTGGCCCAGGGAGTCAGGAGGACCTGACGCCATTTCTGTCTAAGTCAGGGAGATGGCTGTTCACGGAGGTGTAGACAGTGCTGTCATGGAGCTGTCAAAAGTGCTTGGGGACACAGCATGAGTGGGACATAGGATGAACAGAACGTAGGACATCTCTGGGCATCCACACCATAATAGATATTTAACCCCTTGTCCTGTCTTTTCATAATTTTTCTTCCCAGTGTCCCTCCATCCCCCACATCCTTTGCATTTTGCTGCCTGAATTCATGCTCCCAAGGGCTGACCCTAAAAGACTGGGCCACCCAGCCTTCAATGGATTCAAGTCAGGGCTGGACAAAGGGAGGCACCCACAGGAGACTGAGGACAGAATGAAAGAGAGAGATGGTCATTTATTTCCCCAGCTTCCTTTCTGGCCTCCAAGAAGGCAGTCCTTCCACCAGGTGCCCCTCCAAGAAGGCAGTCCTTCCACCAGGGCTCTGGTTCTGTCTCCCTTTGGGTTTGGGAAATGGTTATGGCTTCTGGCATCTGCTCCCCTCTGGACCCATCTGCAGCTCCAGGGGCTCCTTCATGGACGTCTCTGCCTGGAAGTGGTCTCACCCTTCCCTCATGTTGGAATGAACTATTTAAGGTTCTGTCCATCATTTCTCCTAGACTGGGAGAGGGGCACGGGAGTGGGGAGTGTGCCTTAAGCTTGAGAGCCCAGCACTTGGCACAGTGGGTTGAACTCAAGCACTGAGTTGGCTGGGGGTGGAGAGACACTTTACTGAGAGGCTCTTGGACCCGGGTTTTAAAGGGCATCGATGCTTCTGGTGGATGACACATCGTTGTACCACGACGAGGTCTTATTCTTTGGGGACAAGGTCCAGGACTACATGGATCACAGTGTGGGATATTCAGGGCAGCGTGACTCTACTTGAGGCCCTGAGTCACACCCTTTTGTTGATGCTGTTGAGAACACCAAGGACAACAGTGGCCCTGACGTTGGTGACATGTGTGCTCATCTGAGTCACAGGACTGGAAGTTAGTACTGTGCCCTCTGTCTTATTGCAAGGTAAAGTTGACCGAGGCGTGGTTTATACATAATGACATGCTCTGATTTTAACAGTACAGCTGAATGAGTTTTGACACACAATCTACCTGTGGAGGTGAATTTGCTCTTGTCAAGAGTAGAGCATTTCTGTCACTCTGGCAAGTTCTCTCACGTCCTTTCCTCTCTAACCCCACACCCAACCTCTCCAAACGGCACCACTATTGTGGGCTGGTGTCCAGCGAACCCTTGTCCCCACCTTCCAGGCCTTCTGATCCTTGCCTCTGCCCCTTTTCTGGTTGCTGTTGTCTGTGGGGTAACTTTGTGTGCCCTCTCACCTGGTTAGCTCCCCATCTTCCTTCAAGACCCCTCCTCCAGGAAGCCTCCCTGATCTTGTCCTCCACTCAGCCTGGATGAGGGTACTCTTCTACAAAGCCTTGTATTGTGTCGTCTGGATCCCCATCAGATTTTGTTTTATGCCATTTTTTTTTGTGCAAGTATTCTCTCCACCGTGCCCACCAGATGAGATCCTTGGTGAGGACTGGGTCGTATTCTACTTTGAATTCCAGACTCTAGCACAATGCTTGGCATACAGTGTTTGCTGTTTAAAATAAATATGGTAATGATATCCATCCCCACCCCACTTCCAGGACACTTCCTAAACCTTTACCACCACATTATATACTGGGCCCTTTTAGTTGCAAGACAAAGAGACTCAGATAGGAAGATGCCCTTAGTCTTGGAAGGGTTCTGACCCAGCTTAGCTTGGCTGCTCTTGGCTTGTGCAATTTATTTGCTTCCCTTTTCTCCTCCTCCTCCTCCTCCTCCTCCTCCCCCTCTTCTACTACTACTACTACCACCACCAGGGATTGAACCCAGGGGCATTTTACCACTGAGCCATCCCAGCCCTTTTTATGTTGAGACAGGGTCTCTTTAAGTTGCTTCGGGTCTTGCTAAGTTGCTGAGGTTGGCCTTGAACTTGAGGTTCTTCTGCCTCCCCCTCCTGAGCTGCTGAAATTACGGATGTGCACCACGGTGCTCGGTGCCCAGCTGCTTCCCTTTTCTGATTGGCCCCCTCTACCCATCTTACATCTGCTGTCTCCTAACTTCAGCTTGCATTTTTACCTTGGCTTCTTTGGCCCTGACTTTACATCTCTCTGGTTTGACTTGACATTTGTAAAGGTAATAATCTAGCAAGTTCACCTAAGCTTTTTGGATCCACATATTAGCCATATCATGGGCCAGGAACTGACCTCAGGGTTACATGTCCAGTATCCCTAAGGGTGGGTCCCACAAAACATGATTGCTTGAAGAGCAGAGCACTATAGAAGAGGTAGGCAGGACTGTGGCAGGCCTTCTGAGATCTCTCCTATCCTATTACTGAGCAAAACTCCTTGTATTTTTGCCCCTCTTTGCTCCTGAATAATTTACATTTTCTCATCCTTCGTATCAGGAAAGTCCCTTATCATCTTCTCTCTTCTTAGGAATTAAAGGATTAAGGCGTGTTGAAGCTGAAGGAACCTCAGGGACTGTCTGCTTGCGCATGTTCTGTATGACATTAGGCACAAATTTGCTCCGTGAACATACTTCCCAGACCTCTGAGACCTCCTCTGCACAGATAGACCCCTGCAGCATCCAGGTCCTCTGCATTGGAGGCTCTGAATCAGGGGCTACTGGAAAGGCTCCACAGGGAACAAACCACAAACCCCTTGAGATTGTCTGCAACCCTGAGTCAGTGCCGAATGTGTGCACATCTTCCTGAGAGAATGTCTATAGTGCTCATCAAATCATTAAGGTAAATATTACCTGAAAGGAAAAAAAAATGGATAACAACCTCTACTTTAAAAGGTCATTGGCTGACTGTGCCTTCCTAAGGCAAAGCTCTATTCTTCCAAGTTAAACATTTTATTGCTATACTTAGTGTCCACTCACCCAGTGTAAATAGGACAAAGGGCTTTATATGACAAAGCTGAAGGGTCTTGATTACTTAGTGTCTTTAACCTTTTATTTTTCTAGAGATGAAAACACTAAAATAATTATGCATCATTTTAGGTTCGTCAATTGTAACAATCGTATCACTCTAGGTAGGGATGTTGATAAAGAAGGAAACCATGAATGTCCGGGGAGAGAATATATGGGAAATCTTTATACTACACCCTTCTGCTCAATTTTGTGGCAAATCTAAAAATGCTTCAAAAATTAAAAGTTTGCTTAAAAATGGACAAACAAACCAGCCCAACACCAAGAATCAAAGAAGTAAAATATAATTTTCCCAAGGCTAGACAACTGGGTCAGTAGGCACTACAGCCTTCCTCTCTCTTCTTCACTTCTATATTTTAGCCATCATTTTACAAATTCCTGTTATTTTGTGTCAATAAGTCATCATTACTGATCTCCCCCCATCCTGCCCCCCCAAAAACAAAAACAAAAACAAATAAACAAACCAAAAAACAAACAAACAAACATTTGTTTAGGGCCAAGCACTGTGTTATACATTTCTCCATTGACAGGTAGGGGAATCTTTCTATTGGATATTATTACCCCATTTAAAAATTTTACTTTTCTCATGACGATATTGATTCTTGGAGATTTAAAGAAGTTGCCCAAGGTTGCCTAGCTGCTTAGGGGCAAAGAGGGTGCAGGAAAGCCTGTGTTTCCACCACACTTTATTGATGAGGATTTTCTCTCACTTTTGTACGTAACTCGCCCAGGTTAAAAGGCTCCCTCCTGAGGTCTCACCTGAGGCTCCGCGGGGGTACAGGTAGGACCGGACGCCGCCCCCTGGTGGCAGGTGCGCGCCCTCGCAGCGCATGCTAATAAGCCCTCGGCGCCGCTCGCTGATTGGCTGGCGCGGATTCCAGCTGCTTTGCAAGTCGGCGGGTGCGAGGGAGAGTCGAGGGGCCGCGGGCGGCAGCCGGAGCTCTGCGCGCTCCCCGCCCCGCGCATCGCGGTCGACGCCCAGGCTGGGCGGGCCAGGCTGGCTTGCTAACTTGGGGCTTTCCCTCTTCTCTCCCATTTGTGTTGTGGTGGTAGATCCATCCAGGGTCCAGGATGACGATCCGACACCAGGGCCAGCAGTACAGGCCGAGGATGGCATTTCTCCAAAAGGTAACCCGGGTGCCCACACCTGGGCCCTGGCAGGTGGGCGGGGTCCGAGTCTGGGGAGAGTCCGAGGATGTGCTGGGCATCCCTTTTGGGCGGTTCGCGCCGCTAGATTGTATGAAATGACTTATTTGCTTTGTGTGTTGCTTTTGAAGACTATAATAATGAGGATTTCGTGGAAACTGTTTGTAGTGGAGAATCTGAAGCCAGCTATGATGGTCTGCCGGAGGCTGGAAACAACCTGTTACTCGGAGAGGAGGGTGCCAGAGGCAGTTCAGCTGAGGCTGTGAGGTTTGACACAACCTGCCGGTATTGTTGTAAGACATCCGGATGATAAATCAACATGTCTTTTGGCCATGTTTTTCTGATCCTAAACTGTAGTATTATAAAATAAGTATGTTTGTGTGTATACATAGACGATGAAAATGATGTGATCGGTAGGATCAAGGCCACCCTGTTTACAATGTGCAGAGAGCCCTCATTTGTGGATGGGCACTTGAATCTCCCTCTGACAGTGGCTGGCAGCAACATCACAACCTTGTCCCGTCTGTTGTAAATGCTTTCTCAGACCAAGTGACCAGGCACAGGGTGTCCATTCTGGATGCACACGGAGGGCGTGGTGGTGGCGAGCACTTGGAGAGTGATGTGTTTGGGGATGAAGTGGTTCGTTTTGTTCTGGGCTTTTGAGATATCGAGTGTGGGAAGAGATCGACAGAGGATTAGGTCCCAGGTCACCGTCTGCCCTTCCGAAGCACAGCCACTTTTCGCCGTGTGGTGTCCATCCTCTTAGGCTTATCCTGTTGAGTAGAATTAGCTGAATGCTTTTGACAAGCTGGGCCCTGCCCTGAGCCCCAGGAGCTAAGCAAATTGGCGTAGTCAGTGACCAACTGTTTCGATTTGCTAAATGTGTTAAAGCCTGGACAATCCTGGGCACACCAGGACAGTTGTCACACTCTGTCCACTGAGGGTGGCTGAATGTTGTCCTGCCAGAAAAGAACCAAAAAGCCAGTATCACAGATGCCAGTTCCTCAAAGCCAAAGAAACTGCCCAAGTCTAGTGTCTGAGAGCCTAACACCATCTTCTGGGTTTTATCCCAGGACGGCTTTCTTCTCCCAGGCAGGGCAGCTCTGACTTGGGGACTCAGAGAATAATTTTCCGGAGATGTTCAGCTTGCTTTTATTGAATCTTGGGCATTCTTTTCCATCAAGATGGAAGAGAATCTAGTAGATTCTTCTCTCTTTACCTGGTGTCTTGCTTTCAGCCTCCCCTTCTTCACCCCAGCCTCCCCTCCCATTTCAGCCCCCCTCACCTCCACCCCAGCCTCCCCTCCTCCACCCTAGTCTCCTTCCTCCACCCTGGCCTCTGCTCTCACCCCACTTTTCCCTTTCCACTCGATGTACCCTTCCTCCATGGCATACACCCACTGTTTTCCTTTCCCAAACCATCGATGATCTCCTTCACCCAAAACCCTAAGTGGCTTCCCACGCTCAGGATTCCGTCCACCCTTCTCAGTGTGGCCACTCATGACGCTGCTCTCGCCCCCTGCTCCAGCTTTCCCTCCCCCTGCCCTCCACCGCCAGGAGTGGAAGACCAGGAGAGTTTAGGATGCTTCTCAGGGGCTCTTGACTCAGTGACTTCCCCTGCTCTCTGGGAGTCTGTCCCATGCCCCTTCATGTACCAGCCCCCTCTAAGTCCTATCTCCCCTCTGCCAACCTCCCTCTCCTCCTCTTCTCATGCCCCACTCCCAGCCACTCCTCTCTGAAGGCAGGTTCTGTTGACCCTTCAGCAGAGTGACTTCCTTCTTTGTGCCTACAGACCGTGTCCCACCTCCAGTATATTTTTGTTTTCTTTGCCTCATGCCATCAACAACCCTGTCTGCTGCATATATTGAGTCCCTTGATCACATCACGGATTTCCTAAAGCGAGAGCAGGGCAAAAGGCTGCAAGACAGGTGTTGGGAGCCTGTGCCAGGGGATTCTTAGCAATGCACTAGCCTGGGCATCCCAGGACAGTTGTCACACTCTGTCCACCTTCTGGAGGTGACATCTAGCCTTCTGGAGAAGCCTGAAATGTGCCTTGGGTGCAGTGTCATTCTCCACCGGTTCAAAGCCTGTGCGTGTTCCTGGCAGAGGACTCACATTCCTCCTCTCATCTGTTCCCTCAGACAGTGGGGAGGGTCACTGTTCTATGGAGGAAGAAGCTGAGACTTGGAGAAGTTAAGCCACTTGCCAGTCATACAGTCACAAAGTGATGGAACCAGGAAAAAAAATACAGGACTGGCCACCATCTGTCCCCAAAGTGATACGGTGCTGTGAAATTCCCCATGATGTGGGATAGAGTGTGGTGTCTGTGGGAAGACCTGGCTCAGTGTGTCTGGGGGACACAGAGTGAGGACTGAAGAACATATAGGAGGGCGTTCCAAGCAGAGAGGGGGAAGGATGTTCCAGGAGAGGGAACAGCATGGGCCGAGGCAGGGAGGCTCAGGAAATCTGGTGGGTCTGAGGATGGTTGTTCAGTAACGGATGGAGTTTGGAGGGAAGGGGAGAGGGGTGTGGAAAGGTAGGTGAGACAGAGGGGACCACAGTGCCCTTGGAAACTTTTGAAGGTGGTTTGCTTTTTGACAGATTGGCAAATTAAGAAGACTCCTGGTGTGAATAAGAGGATGGAAGGGATGTCTTCTTTTTTCCTGAGCTAGGAGAGTTCACTCAAGGTCTCCTGTGCCTCCCCCAACTCCAGCTACCCAGGACATGGCGGTGTCTCACACTGGGGAGAGTGGAGCTGGTCAAGGGCCCTTCCCTCTGCGATTCCTAAGGCTCTTGCTTTGTGTGCCCACCTCATACTCCATGCGGGGGAGACTGCCCCTCAGCCCAGAAGCTGCCCACCTGTGATGCCTGGGCTGGTTTAGGATGTGGTGGGAAGAGATGGAGGGCCAGCCTGCCCAGGCGCATTGCTGGGGGTTTAGCTGAGGACACACAGGGGACTGATGACACAGCTGAGTGGACTCTTGTGGCTCCAGCACCGTGGGCTTTAGTTCTGGTCCTGGACCATGTCCCAGCAGGTTCCAGTTACCGGGATTCACTATAGGACTGACTTTTTTGGAGAAAGAAGCCTTGTGAGATGATTTGACTTTCCTGTGTGGCTCCATTTCTCTCCTCCTCCTCCTCCTCCTCCTCTTTTTGCTTGGGAAGGAGGAATACTGAATATTTTGCTGAAGAGGAACACTGACCACCTGGGAAGAAAGTGGTATCACTTGCTTGTATCATTCAGTGTAGATAATGGAGCACTGAAGTCCCAGTGTTAGGATACCAAGGAGATTAGAGTCTCTGGAGACAGACAGATGTGTAAATTAGGAGAAAAACACGTTCCATGCACCATGGCAAACACTGTTGGAGGCTCCATCAAGGGGTAGAGGTCAGCTCCACCTGGGGGCTGAGGTGTGAATCAGGGCAGGTTTCTCGGGGGGACCTGCAACGGAGTCGAGTTATGAAAAACGAGTCTTTTGTTTTTGGCAGGAGAATGGGAAGATGAGTGACATTTTAGGCAGGTACAAAACACAAAACATGTGAAATAGTCTGGTCGTTTTGGAGGCTGCTCAGTGGTCAGGAGTGCTGACCCAGAGAGGGCAGAAGAAGTGTTTGGGTTTGGTGGACAGCAGGGCTGGTAGGTGAGAAGGGCCCAGAACTGAAGTGCTTCTTATGACATGCTGAGGATTTGGTGCTCTATGTGTTTAACAAGAAGCTCTCTGATGTCAACCAGGGATGAATATGATGAGGTGATTCACATTCGAGAAGGATAATTCTGATGAGACAGTGTGAGGCTTTCCAACTCTGGATGTACCTTTAAAAATGTCAATATCAAGTCACTGTCCTTAGAGTTTCAGATTACGCTGGCCTGGCCTGGGGTGGGGCTTAAGCAATTTTTTTTTTTTTGTACTGGAGATGAACCCAGGGCGCTTTACAACTGAGTTACACCCCCAGCCCTTTTTATTATTATTATTTTTTTGAAGACAGATTCTTGCCCAGTTGCTTAGGGCCTCAATATCAGACTTGCTGAGTCTGATCTTGAACTTACAATCCTTCTGTTTCAGCCTCCTGAGTTGCTGGGATTCCAGGTATGCCCCACTGCACCCAGCAAGCATTGGTCTTTGAAAGAAAGCTTCCCAGGTGGTTTGAAGTGCAGCAAAGATGACATTCCTTGAGGACATTTGGCAATGTGTAGATGCACTAGGGGATTATTACAACTGGGGCTTTTATTGGCATCTAGTGGGTAGAGACCAGAGATCCAACATCCAACAATGCACTGAACAGCCCCTAAGCAAAAAGTGATCCTGCTGAAAATGTTGGTGGGGCTGTGGTTGAGGGCCCCTGGGCCAGGGGACATGCTGGAGGTTGGAGGCAGGTGCCAGTGAAGACCCAGAACCTGACGGTCCAGGAGGGGGTTAACAGACATTCATAAGGCCGGATTTAATGGGCAGAAAAGAGATGTGTGAAATATAAAAGCACAGTCCCTGGAAGTCACCCGTCACTGTTGTTGGCTGGGGTCATCACACAAGGGCTACGGCATGGTGCAGGCTGGGGTGGGCTGGCCACTGACTCCTTGTGGCTGGGTTTATTAGAAAGAGCTCACCCTCCTGTTAGAACAACAGCTGTTGTGAGGTCACCTCCCCCATCTCGATATGGGGAAGTCATGATTATTATTGTTCCCCTGGGAACCTTCTCCAGCTTAAAGGAAAATTCCAGCCCCTGAGATATTCTGCAGTGAGTGACAGCTTCTTAATTCTTGGAGCAGCGTGGGCCTGGTGGGTGGGATGTCAAAGCCAGCGTTTCTGATCCCTTCACGATGTCAGGGTCCCAGGCACACCTGCAGTCACGCATCCAAGAGAAGAACTGTGGGGCTGATATTTCCCCCTCCACCCCCCACACCCAATTCAGGGCCTGATGGGGCTCGGTGGTAGTCTGATTGTGTGGCATTTATGTGTTGCCTGGGAACACGATGGGGCTGATTCT